GGGACCTCCGAAATTTTTCTGTGTATCCTCATTCTCTTATTTCACAAACGAAGACACTCAGGCCTAAGTGGTGCAATGAATTGCCCAAGGTCACACAGCAATTTGGAGTGATGCAGAAAACAGACTTCACGTCTTTTAAATCTCATTCTGGTGCTTTTCTTTCTTTCTTTCTTTCTTTTTTTTTTTGCCTGGTGACCCTCAAAGTGGAAAGGCAGAATGAATTAGAATTTAAGCCAAGCTATTCTGTGAGCACATGACATTGGAATCTGAGCCTGCATTTCCTCTTATGAGGGCAACAGTTCTCACCCTTGAAATTTAAGCCGCTATTCTGTGAGCACATGACATTGGAATCTGAGCCTGCATTTCCTCTTATGAGGGCAACAGTTCTCACCCTTGCAGGACTGCGATCCCTACCCTGCATGGTTATTCTGAGGACTAAATGAGATGTATTTGAAACTAGCATCCTACCTACTATGCAGTTGGCACGAAGCAGATGCTGGTTCTCCTTCCTTCCTGTGCTGTGAAACTACCAAAAGCAGTATTGAGGAGTAGTTAGAGTTTTTACCACAAGATGAGGCTGATGGGCAGTGCCTTCCAGCCAACTGTGTTAAAAATGCAAGTGGATAGCATTTGGTGTCTATAATGGAAATAGCCAAGTAGTTTTCCAGCTTGGAAAATAACTGGGTATGTTGAAGTCTGACTCATTTGACAGAGTTGTTTTTTCCCTTTTCCTGAGGAGACACTTCTCTGATGACTATCTTATCTTTAATGTCTGTTGTCTCTCCTTTGTCCATAGCAGAATGTTGCATTATTACAAACATGCTGAAAGGATGAAGGAGCCTTTAGAGCTTAAATTGGAGAATGTCTTTTTTTTTTTCTCGTATCAGATGAATATAATGACATTTTTCTCCCTTGTACAGTGGAGGTTTTGTCTGTTTGTGGTGCTGGGTGTGGAACTCAGGGTCATGACCATGCTAGGCAGGCAGTGTATAGCCGAGCTAAGCCACAGCAAGGACTATGGATATTTGATACCCTGGGCTTCCCTGCCCAGTCCCGATTCTTACACACTGGGGATTCAGGACAGGCCCCATGGGACACTCTTTGGAGGACTAGTACTGGCCACCTGCCAGGCTTTGACTTTGGCTGAAGATGTGTTACGCACATATACCGAGTCCCTGCAAGGAAAGTAATCATTACGCACTGCAAACATGTACTAATATAAATAAATAATGCTAAACTAACAAAACAGAAATCCAGTCCCTTACAATGCTCGATATGCACAGAGCAAAGGAAAGAGGAAAAACATACCAAAAAGTGGACTACTCTCAGGAAAACTGTTCTGTTTTTCTGGCCCTGAACAAACATCTCTCATCTAGCACAATATGATTTTCAAAGTTTGCATGAATGCTTTGATAACCTAGTTTTAGTTCCATCCTGGCCACTCATTGTAGTCACATGGGAGTTCAGAACGAAAGAACCCAGACTAACAATAACAACAACAACAACGTTAGTATTTTAAAAATCCACATATTGCTTGTACTTCACTTCTGACCAACCAAATCCAGAGATGCATCTTGGACAGTGGTGACTTTTTAAAATTTCCTAAAGTGATCCTAATGTGTCATCAGGATGAAATTAACTTTCTATCTGGAAATGGAGTGTCCCATCTCTTTAATGAGTAAAATGAGGCACAGGAAGTACATTTGGTCTGTTGTCTGTCTGGAAAGGCTGAGGGGAGGACAAGCCAGGGACAGAAACTCTTGTTTACTTCCACTGTAGTTTCTGTCCCCATCAGGCCTCCTTAAGGAAGAAGCTTCTTCAAGATCTCCCCTTATCTCTAGAGTGGAACATGGATGGATCCCTCTCCTGTGCAGAACATCTTTCCTAGAGAGCACATTAGTATTTGAGAAGGAACCACTTTTCCATTTGTCTTTTATTTAAGATAAGCTCATTCTGATATTACTTCAGTGAAAGAGTCAAGCCCTTTTTTGCAGGGTCTTGTTAATCCCATTTTAGTGCCTATCCAGGGTGTTACTGACCCCATAGAATAGGGAGTCTAAAAGATTCAAGAAAAATCAGTGGATGACCTTGAATTCTTTAGCCCCTACTGCCATCTGCTTGGCATATGGGGTATCAAGCTAATGGTCTTGTGGATTCCAGGAATCTGGAAGGGATGGACAATCACAGAATATATTCTTCCACTTTCACAACTGCAGCATCTCTGTGATTCCAGGAGTAACCTAATTTTAATAAGGGGTACTCTGGCCCTTAGTTGAACCGAAGTCCATTGCCCTGTGACTCAGAACTGATCTTGGACTTTGCCATACAGAAAAGACACCTCTTCCCGCCGTGATGGATGGCCCGAGGACTCTTTTCCAGGCTGAATCAATTCTTCTTCAAGGGACCTGTTTTCAGTTCCCTCTCCTACCTGCTAGCTGCTCTCTGTTTTAAAAGTTTTTTTTTTTTTACAACCCTTTGTGGATGAGGAGAGATGGGTTTTACTAAAGGAGTGAAAAGTGTACTTTAACCTTTCTATTTTCAGTTACTTTGGTTAGAGAAGTACTTACGTGGCTATCACTCACCATAACCTGGTTAACAGTGTGATGGGCAGTTAGGGATGGAATGTAAATCGTGGCTCTGTCATGCCGTTGTGAGCAAGCTATGTACTTTCTTTAAATCTCAGATGCCTCATCTGTAAAGCTGGTTACGGTTGTGATATGGAAAGAATGGATGTGTTTCACAGAGCGCTCACATAGGGGTGGCCTGTGCTGTTACAACATTATGATTTCTGGCTAAGCTACTTGACAGTAAGGTAACAGAGACCCTTTTCTCTGCCTGTACCTTAGTGCTGAGTACTTGTTTACTTTGAACAATGAGATGGTGCTTGGTAGGTGTAAACAATGGCTAGAACGTCACAGAAGCCTGCTAGCTTTTATTCCTGTCCCTTTTCAACCACAGGGGTTGCTACTGTTAGAACCACCTTTATTTTGATTTTTGACCCTGCTTAACGTGTGTGACCATTAATCCTGATTGGTCAACTTTATTGGATTAAGACATTGTTTGTAAATTTGAAAAGCACACCAGGAGTGTTGGGGTTGGTAGTGGGGGCGTTACCTCCAATAGCAAATAAGAGCCCCACCTGTTTCTCTCTGAGTCTCGAACTGGGCAGTTCGGCTCTGCCACATGCTCCTTTCATGGAATTCCTGCTTCAGAGCCAGCAAACCATCTCAGGCTAAGGCGAATGAAAGCTCTTTTTCTTTAGGTTAGGTATTGCGTCTCTGTGATAGGAAAGCTGACTCATATTTGCATAGTTCCTTGGGGGGGAAATAGTTGATACTGTTTTTTATCATAAATATCTAAGTCAATAAAGTCAAAATCCCTTACAGAAAACCCATCTGACTGGAGGGAAAGGAAAGCTTTAAAGCAAGAATGAGGGTCATGGGGTCTCAGGAACAAGATTAGTTTTTAATCGGTCTGGCCTAGATTTGGTTCCTGCTGTGACTGTGTGTATCACAAAAAGACGTGGATGCCAGTTTGGAGACATCTGGGACACATTCTCTGTGAACCACCCAGTTTCCTAGAGGTGCCATGATGGCCACCTGTCAAATCCAGCTCTTGATGAGACTGAGGTTGTGGGCTGTGAATGCCAAACATCACTCTTTGTCTCCTAGAAAATCTTGTCCTGTCTAGATGAATCATTCGCAGTATTCTAGTCCAGGGAGAATGCCTTGGGAGCTATTTGTGAGTTGGGCATAGTGGTGACCACTGCAGTTGGTCTTAAGCTTAGCAATAAGAAAACAGCAATCTCTAGAGCCCTGGCTTTAGAAATGGCACAAAAATGGAATGAACAAAAATGAAAAGTAGATAATGGATCCACAGTGATTTAATTCTTGGTGATATTTTCATTTTATGCAAATACCAAAAGAAAAAAAAAAACCCCTGGCTATTTGAAAGAAAAACAGGAACCAAAAAGTATTTAGTGTTTGATCAAGCAAGAATCCTTTCACACTTCTGCCAAGAGAGCTAAAACAAATATAGATGTTAAATAAAAGGCCCAGGTACCAAAGAGCAAAATTTAATGAAAGCCAGAACTGTTAAGTATGGATTCCTGTTGAGAACAATGTCAATCTCTTTCAGAGTTTTCCCATTGCTCTATTTTTAAGAAAAGTGTAGTAAAAATACATAATACAAGTTAACTTTTTCTTGCTTTTGTTTTCCCTTCACCCACCCATCGATGAAAAGCGTCTTCTGCCAGAGTCATGGACCCCCACATAGCACAGACCCTCATTTCTAGCACAGACAGAGTCTCTCTCTATCAGGTCATGTTGCTGGTAGGCTCAGGACTGGAGAGCATCTTACCAGGCCAAAGGCAAAAAGTCTTTGAAGCATGTTGATGGCAGGGGTTATTTCCAACTCTTCCAAAATGCAGACTCCCTAATGGTGGGTCATGTCAGGTTCTACACTGATAGGCTAAGGGCTGAGGAAAGTCTGGTGTGAGGGCAGAAGGTCGGGGAGACAGTAGTTGGCAGTAATAAAAGGTGATAATCCATCTTGTGGGTGCTGCTTCACATACCATTCCCACGTCAACACATAGGAACCTGAAGAATGTTTTGGTTTTCAGGGCGAAGAATTGTATTTGAAATGGTTCTTTGCTATGGCTGACGGAAGGAGAAAAGGAGAGACATAGAGATGGTGGGTATCCACTGAGAGAATCCATAAATGAAGCCAATCATACTGCATCTACCTCTAGGTAGACTCTGAAACACTTTCCTTGTCACTCACTAATGATAATCTGTAGCAGAGAAGGCTGGATAGAGGTAGAGGGTCAGGGAACAAGCCAGATTTATGGCTATGAATAAAAGCTAATGACACATGGCACGCACTAAATCATGCACCTAGGAGAGTGGCTGCTGGAGTGCTGGAAGCCAATTGCACAAAGAATGAAAGTTGGGGGTCTCTGAGAAAGCTACTTGCCAAGACTCCCCCTTCCAATCAAAGTGTGAGTTAGCCTGGGTTTTCCTCCATGAACCTGGTTACTTTGCTAGTCTTGCTTCACTTCAGGTTTGTAGCTGCAATATGCGTGTGTCTCTTCTGCTCACTGAAAGGTAATGTCCTCATTCTATCTCAGCCAGAGGGAAGATCAGCCTCTGTGAGTTAGAGGTTGTGGTCAGGGATCTCAGAGTCTCCTAAAGTTGTAATCAATTTAATCCATTTCCCTATCCTTTTTCAAATAATTCGGCTCTGGGTATCTTTGTTCCTAAAGATGACCACATTTTCTGGCCACACTCAAACGGTACTCTGTGTTAACATAAAAACCCAAGTTCACCGCATCACCATAACCCTAAAGTTCATATTTGGTCTCCCAAACCTAGGAATGGGCACATCACGGAAAGCTGTATTGCTTTTAGGCTTTGAAGAGGCTTCCTCTTCCACAATTCTTCCATCACCTTTCTTTCATAATTTGCTTGCAAAACATTTCCCCTCACATCAGAGGCTCCACAGAGAGAGTCTTCTCCACATTGGGGTTCCTGCTCCACATCCAGCAAAAGACAATTGAGTGATACCTCCCTGGCTGTCTTCCTTCTTAGGGACTGTTTGCTTCGAGAGGCCGACTGACTCTTAGCCACCACAGTGCCTTTGAGCACGAACGTAGCAGAGCATCTTTCTCAGGGCTGAAGTTGACTCTGTGAAGAAATACACCATCCCATCTCTGGCCTATGGAATTGTCTCTTTATACATCAAAGGAAGCTTTTCCTGAGCAGCAATAACTTCACGAGTCCTCCTCTGACTACACATCTGCCCTTGCTCCATCCACCACCCCTGCTCTGCGTTGCTTTGTGTGTGTGTTCTTGACTAAATCAATGATTAGGCAGAGTTCCATCTGGGGAAAGCAGCCCAATTCTCCAACAGTGTCTGTCTCCATCCAAGGCTTGGGGCCACAGAGTGGAGGGTAACATGGACAGCCCCAGGGTGAATTAGCTTTAAAGGTTGCATTTTCCTTTTCTTCCTTGCAAGGTGGAATGAATCTTGAATCTCCAATATGAAAACTGAAGAAGAGTAGGTGGGGTTTGGGAATGAGAAGGAAGGAGAAGTAAGGGTCTTAACAGAACCTGCAAACCATGGATATTAGTAAGAAAAAAACTGCACACACTAAGACACATTAACAGTTGAATTAAAAGAAAAGAGTCCAGTTTCTTCATTAGCTCCACGGACTCCATTTTCAGACACAGGCTTCATTAGACAGAGTTAACTCTCTTCTTATTTCAGGACATTGTTTTTTAATCATCCTCACTTAGCAAACGTAAAAGGTTGAAAGAACTTCAAAAAAAGAAAAGGGACAGGAAAGTGTTTTGTTGTTGCTGTTGTTTTTTCTTTAAATTCTCCAGGAAAATCTGTTGAGTCGTTCCTGTGGTTGCGGTGGTGGTTGGTGGTGACGTTTCATTTTGTTGTTTTTGGCACTGAAGGGTTGGGATGGGGCTAAGGGAGCCTGAGCCTGCTCCCCAAGGGTTTTCTGCCAGCTCCAGTTATAATCCTGTGGCTCCCAAGGGCATCCCTGAACTGTGGCTCATGCAAGGGATTGATTGAATGGACTTGGGGAAGTCATGGCTGACCACCCGGCCATTCTCTCCACTGCCGCTGCCATTGGCTGCTGCTCCGCTGTTTCGGGGAAGGGTCGATGTCCGTATGGCTTCATTGATGGATTGCTGTGGAATCAAACAGAAACCCTTTTCAGGAGGACAGGGGGTTCTTCCCCAGGTCCTTGGCAGTGAATGACAAGGGGAACGGGTCAAGACTGGACTTAAAATCTAACCGTAACTCTCCTATCTATTCAACTCCTTTCCTAGTCTATAATGCTAATTTTGACCTACCATGAAGGTGCAGAACTCCCTAGGGTGGTTCTGGACCAGTCTTTTCCCCTCTCTGGGCATTGAGTTTAATGTTTAACAAAATGTCCAGGACTGGATAAGCACTAAGGTCCTTTGTTGTTCTTATATTCTTTGCTATTATTGATGATGATAAATATAGTATAACCAAGTTAGAAAACCTCCTGGAAATGGAGTTTAGGAAATTTAAATTATACTTTTGGTTCTGACTTCAATCCATGAACCAGTTGTTATTCAGGTATCTTGAATATCTGGGTATCTTCAGAGTAATCATTTTATATTTATTTATTCATTTATTTGGTAATGGGAATCAAACTCAGGACCTTGTGCTTGCAAGGCAGGCACAGCACCATGGAGCTAAATCCCCAGCCCAAGACTAATTTTTTTAGTGAAGCATCAAAGAAATGGTTTGAAATGTTAAAAAAAAAAACCAACAAAAAAACCCCAGGATGTTTTTATTGTTGGGCTCAAACAAAACAAAATACAGCAAGCAAACAAACAAAACTACCTGATGTTCCTCGGAGAAAATACCATACTACTTTTGATATTATGTTCTAAGGGCGCATTGGACTTGTCTTAACAAGTCCTAAGATAAGTCTTAGAACAATATGTGAAATATAATTAGAAAGGGGATGAGGTAAAGAATATGAAAATGCATATGCAAAGTCACTATCTGGATATATTACCCACCAGCATGTATTATCTACACCTCTAGACTGACACACCAGAACAACTCTACAGCCTTGTGGTTTCCAGAATGTTTGAATTCTTACATTTGAAGAGGACTCCAAGGATCACCACAAATCAAATGAGTGAAAACCAACAAGTAGGTCTAGAGTCATACCTTATTAGACAAGAGCAAGAGTTCAGCTCAGAGTTCCTTTGGAAAAAGAAACTTTGTGACTCAAAATCCAATCTCTTCCTGTCTAGTCTAACTCCCCATTAAGAGACTAGCTTTTTGAGATAGTGTTTGGCTTCTTGGTAGAAATCAACATAGAGGAGAAATCTCTATGGGTTGAAAAGCTTTCTTCTCTAAAACAAACTGTACTCATTCTCCAAGAGTTACTCTGTTCTTGCTTCCTTCTTGCAGTCTTGCTACACTGCATGGATATGTTTTTTATTTTCTTGTAGTGGTTCTGCTTTGGGTACATAAATTCTGTCTTCACTGAGTGCTGTCTGCAAGAGGGCAAGGGCCAATTCTTCTCAATCCTTGGCTGTCCCCAGGGAAACTGGCATACAGTTAGATACTTAATATATTCTTGAATTTGTCTAAGAAAAGTCAGTAACCTAACTGAATATGCGAAATGTCTGGGGCATGTTCAACTTTGCATCTTGCCGTGATTCTAGTCATCCAGAGAAGCCAGTCAACCTACTGTGGCTAGACAAAGATGAACAGGGCAGTTTTGACCTAATTTTTTTCCAGCTATCTTTTTGTGGCTAGAAATTCTGGCAATGTTTGAAAATGTTCTTTCTTTTTTCAAATCTGTGATTCAGGCAGATTTACCCCATAGGATACTCCACCCACACTGGTTCTGTCTCCTCAAACCTTGAGACTTGGTTTATTTACATCTTCCCTTGGCAGTTCTCTACTGAAGAGGAAGTGTGACTTGGACTGCATTCTTCCAAGTCAAAGGCCAAATAATTACCAGTGTGATGCTACATGGGGGAAATGTGAACTGACAACATGCAGCATTAGTGATTATTTATTCTCACCTAAAAATAAAGGTGAAAAGGAAATAACATTTTATTTGTTTGGGTGAGACATATGGAACTTTGTGTAATTTGGCTTGGAATGTCTAGCCATGATTTTTCTTCCCTATATTCCTTTAATTAAAGTAAAAATTTAAAGTTAAAAATATCATCTTGGACTTTGTTTCTCAAAGGCTCATACATTCCTATAATATTTCTTTATCTTAAAAGAGAAGAGGATGAAATTAATCACATAGTCACCGTTGGTGCTTACGGAAGTTTGAAGTAGCTTAGCTGGGTATGAAACAAAACCACCACAGTCATGTGACCAGAGTTGCTGTGCAAGGAAGCTGGGCACCTCTCAGAGGTCACTGACTTTGTCCTCTACTGCAGGTGGGCTCTGCCTTCTTACTGCATTTCTTTCAAATATGTTTATGGGATCTCAGGAGAAGAGAGAGAGTCAAAATTGTGTTGACTCCTACCCCTACCCATGCTGACTTAATAGTTATGTTGTGTGGCTTGGACATCTGGAGTTTTAAAAGCTTCTCACAGGATTCTGAAATGAGGGAAAGGTGGTCTTTCCTCTGTCCTCACAACTTCTCCCATTTACTTTACAGAGAAACTGACTGCTGGATATAACTTTCTCTTTTAAGGTAGCAGTCATCTGACCTTTCCACAAAGTCAATGACCTTCTAACTGAGGTCCTTCTTATCCCCTACAGACAAGGTTTCATTTGCTGATGTAGCTCCTGCCCAGGCCTTTGAGAAATGAGGCTCTCCCTTGTCTCTTCTTGACATGCCAGCCAATCTTAGAGCTCAGCTGTATAGTTGCTGCTTTGAAACTGATAAAAAAGCCAAAGGGTTTGTGAAAAGTCCACGTTCAAAGCTCCTCACATTGGCTCTTTATAGACTCATTTCTCTAAAAGTGATTACAGCTTAACTTCTCATTCTCATTTTGTTGAGAAAACTCTGCCCTGTCTCTGGATGTTGCAGAATATCCTGTAATAGAAGATCAAATCTCGTAGTGACCTCATCCAGGCACACATGCAAAGGAGGAGAGTGACCATCTATCATGCAGGATTTTACTCCTGTGTTCTCAAATCTCTCAGCTGCTCACTAATTCCAGGAAAATGTGCAAGCCCCCAATTACTATTGCTTAAACACACCCCATGTTAGCATAGTCACATATAATTTTGAAAGGTCAGTGGCTCTCCTGGGGGTGGGAGAGGCTGTGGATTATTTCCATTTGGGAGCAAGTTGCTGAATAATAAAGACCCTGGTTATCCTTAATTTCATCTAAAAATGAAGATTTTGTTCCATTTTTCCTGGCAGAGGAGAGGTGCAGGGAATCTAAGGTTTTACTGAACTCAGAATGTGTCCTAGGTTATGCATTGTTGGTATGATATGACAATTGAAATTGTCCTCAAATGTGGTCTTCCCAAAGCCCCTGAGTCCCCATTTCTCAAATGCTGCCTGTACTTCCTTGTTTTTCTGTGTCCTAGTTTCTCTGGCTTTCTTCCCATTTCTTCTTAAGAGTTCTCATGTCTGGCTTTCTGACCCTTGTGCATCCTTTGCTGGCAATTTTCCTCCCCAGGTTAATTCCTTTCATGCTTTAAGTCGTTTAACCACTGCCTTGTTAGAGAAGCTAATCTGACTGCTCTGGCCTCATCTAGCCATCAGTACACGACTCTGCTTTTCAGTTCGTAGCACTGGGCATATTTCTCCCTAATACTAACTGAACAGGAAAACATTTACTTATTTCGTCTTCCCCATCAGACTGTCAGCTTACTGAGAAGAGAAGCTGTGAGTGGGGAGTTTCTGTATCTCTAGCGTGATCACTGCCTAGCATATAGTGGTGCTTACTGTGTCTTTGTAGGGTGTCTTCCCACCCTTTCCCCGAGATTTGTCTATTCTCATCAACATATCAATAGGAGAACTCAAGGACCCACAGCAAGTGACTGGTATGTACAAAGATCATCTCAACACTTGATCAGGAAAATCTAAGGACAGGGATGCATTTTATTTGTCTTTGTGACTAGCGCTGTGGCTAGGGTTTGAGGGATACATGGCAGGTGCTCAAAAATTGTCACGTGCCATGTGGTTAGAGCAAGGAAAAAACTGAGGTGAGGGGGCTTGGCTACTAGGCTTTGTGGAGGCTGTGTTGAATGTCTAATTCCTGTCGCTCCAGCTCATAGCTTATAGGACTTTCTATAAGGAGCTACATAGCTCCTCTGATCTGGTTTTTCACCTTTAGAATTGCAAATAATACATTACATGATGAATGAAAATGTGTAGAAAGCACTTGGAACTGAAAGTTACTAAAATGTTGTCCCTTCTTCCCTTTCCTTCCTCTCTTCTGCCTTTCTTTCTCCATTATGCATACTCTTCCTTTCTTCCTTCCCTCATCCGTTATGAGGAGGAAGGGCTCTTTAAAATGTTTATATCTGGGAGCTGGCTCTGAAGTAGTTTAGGGTCTCAAGACCTGAAAAGTTGGCCAAATACTGTGATCAAGGAAGGAGACCAGAGGGGAGATTCCTGCCAAAGGTCCCTGTCACCATCCGTCCACATCTCTGTGTGAAAATGGGGCTGCACATCTGAAAAGAGCCCATTGCTTTTAGAGGAGGGAAAGTACAGAATAATAGAACTGCAGAGCTAGAAAGTCAGGGAAACAAGTGGAGTGCATTCCACTTATCTCTTGTGGAGAAGAGAGGAGTTGATGGAGCTTCAAAAATTAAGGGCTGGGTTGATTAATAAGGGAAGTATCTATTCTGCTGTTGGAAGATAGAAAAATTCTAGTAGGAGCTTTGCTGAGTTGTGCAGGAGTCATGACAGTTAATGGAATTAATTACAGAAGGATGTGATAGAAAGTTTTGAGTTAATGATTTCAAGAGATCCTCATGCTTTCTGAGAAATTTAACATCTTCAATTGTAAAGGAAAGAGTGAGAATATCTCCAAGAAGCTATGCTATGGCTGGTGGAATCTTTTAAAGCTGATTTAACCTGAATATTGTGACCTCAGTAATGATGGTCCACACTATCCCAGGTTTAAGAAGATCCCACTCTTTAGCCACCCCAGTCCTACTACTGCCAGGCTTAGTGGGAATCACAATAATCCCAGAGGCAGGAGGGAACATCCTAGAGTTTCCCTCTCTG